TCTCGAATAAATTTGATTTGCTTCTCCACCCTGGTGTGTCTATTGGTGCGACGCACACTGGGCAACGAACCCTGTTGCCCCCTCAGGCCCTCTGGGCCGGCAACACGACTGAGCACTAGGTGTCACTGCTGGTCCAAGGGAACACCTTCTGTGCATTACCTGAGTGGCCACTAGATGTCACTGCTGCTCCAAATAAATGTACTCTGTGCTTTACCCCAACTGGCCACCTGGTGTCACTGCTGTTCCATGGAAAACACCACACTGTGCAGTACCTTGACTAGCCGCCGGGTGTCACTGCTCCTCCATGGGAGACACACACTTTTCATTAGCCAACTTGGCTAGCTCTCTGGCCACCCAGCTCTGAGGACAGTGCCGCCACCAGCAGCAGCGCAGAAATACCCACTTAACTATGCGCTGCCCAGAGCAGGAAGAGGGTTCAGGGTGCCCCACAGCAACCCGAACAGACACACTCTGCCCCAGGTTCCTGGGCCTGCCGCCCGTGGTTGATGCTCCCTGAGGGTTCTGCGAGAGCCAGGTTCCCTTACCCGGATGGCTCTTGGGGGCTGCAAGCAGTCGAACGGCAGTGGGAAGCTGAGGGGCAGCCGCAGCCCCAGGGCCAAGAGCAGCATCAGGAGGAGGAGGAGACGGGAGCACCCAAGCTGCCCATACCATGGCACCAGCCAGCGCATCAGTCACCCCCCACTGGCCGGCTCCAGCCGCCAACCTGGCCAGGAGGAGGTCAATGCGGGGGACGGGGCAGGAGGCAGGGCTGGCACTTAAGAGGAGCAGAGAACAGAGCCATAGAGATGGGTGGGGCCTTGTGCCAAGGGGGGGTGCAGGCCCCCAATTTTCTGTCTAGCCCATCTCAGCCACACACCTCCAGGGGAGAGGGGGAAAACTGGGGTTTGAGGGTTTAGGGTTGGGATTACAGGGTCAGGGTCTAAGGGTTGGATTAGGGTGAGGGTAAGGGGGAGTTAGGTTTAGGGTGTGGATTAGGTTTGGAAAGGGTTAGGGGTTGAGAAGGAAAGTTGGATTACAGGGAAGGGAGGGGTTAGGGTTCTGGGAGGCAAGTTTGAGGGTTAGAGGGTTGTGCTTAATGCAAGGGTTAGGATTAGCTTTAGGGATTAGGTTGGGTAAGGGTTTGGGTTCAAAGGTGGGTTAGAGTTAAGAGGTTAGGATTATGGTCAGGGTGGGGGTTATGATATAATAGGGTGATGGTCGGGGATCAGGGTTAGTTGAAGGGTTAGGGTGCAGGGGTCAGGGTTGAGATGCCTAGGGTGAAGGGAGGGGTCAGAGTTTAGGGTTGGGGTGTGGTGTAGGATAGGGTTGGGATCAAAGGTTAGGGGAGGAGTTGTGTTAGAACATTGGGGTTAGAGTACTGGGGAACAGGAATTAGGGTTTGGGATTAGGGTTAGCAGGTGAGGGCTCAGGGTTTGTCTTTTTTGCTGTTCTAATTGCTTGAATTGACTACTCTGTATCATAATTTCCTGTAAATGTAGTCTAATTCCTTTTATTGACTTTTCAAAAACATCAGTTTCATTATTATTATAACACGACCTACGTTTTTATTGTGACATAGTAAATTACAGGTTTTAATACTCATGATTATTTTGTTTTTAATGTCAGGCTATTATCTGTGATCATAGCCCTTGAATGCTGCCTGATTTCCTTAGTTGCCTCAGCCCTGGTCCAGAAATAGCAGTTTGTGATGGATGATATCTGCCCTGTCACAGTTTCCTACCCCATGAAATCTCTATATTAAATTTGGAACTCAATAAAACAAATGTTTTTTAACTTAGAAAAATGTATTCAGTTAGAAAACTCATTTCATGAGTGTCCCAATTTCAAATAGAGATTTCTCAGAAGTAGCACATTGTGAATACCCCATCTGCCATAAATGGCTACTCCTAGACCCAGGGCTGGTGAACTGTGGGCGTGGCGAATTCCATCAGGACAGCAAAAACTTGCTATGCAGATGTCAGTAACTGCAACTGGTAGGAAATTGGGACAGGGAGCAATTTGTAATAGTACGTCCTGACACTACAGAGGAGATGCTGGGATGTTTCCCCCCACCAGACATCAGGCTCTCCACATTAGGGTCAGTGGCTGCCAGGCCAGCTGGAGGCTGGTCTTGGTCTCTGTGGTGAGCAGGCTACGCTGGGAGCAGGAGAGGGTGAGATCTGGGGCAGGTTGTTCAGCAGCCAGGAGCCCACGTGCTTGTCCGTCCCTGAGCAGCTGAGGAGCAGAGTGTGCAGCTGGTCAGTGCACCTGCTGTAGCCACTGCTGTAGTGCTGCTCTGTGGCCAGGCTCTGCTTGATGGTGGCTGCAAGAGATGGGTCAGCGTCCGAAACAGCACAGCAAATGGGAGGCAGGAGCTGCTGTGGCAATCAGCCACAAGTCAAACCCACAAACCTGTCAGCCTGCAGCATCACCATCTGTCCTCCATATGCCACACACACCTCTCCATCCCTCCTCTGTATGCCAGAGATGCTCATCTATCCATCTCCAAACACATCTCTGTTTCTCTCTGATTTTCCATGCAGTGCCCAACACAAGGTCCGAACCTGAGTGAAGCTTTTGATGCTGCAGTACAGGAGCTGTAGGGTGACAGTGCGTCTCTGTGCATCACTAGTCTCAGCCCTTTTTCTCTGGAGTCCAAAGCCATGACTCTGAGTTCACACCTCTTGGGCCCAGATCCCATAGCCCTGAAGATACTCAACCAGCCACTCGTGCTCTGTGATCCCGTTACAGCAACAGGAATCTCCCCAAAGTCCCCATGAAGATGTGGGAGGAGTGACACCTTGAGCCTGGCAGGCAGCATGAACTCTCCTCAGCATGGCATGGACCATCCCTGGGGCAGACAGATCCTATATGACCCACAGGAGACCACAAGGGCCAAGAGAGTGCATCCCACCGAGCCTGATAGGATGCGTGGACCCTCCCTCTCGGTTGCATTGGGGCAGACAGACCCTCCCCCGAGATGGATCCTCCCCAGCCCATGGGAGACTACAGGGTGCCAGGGAGTCATTACCCAGGGTGTTGCTCTGTGGCAGGCTCTCCATGTGCTACACCGTGATCTCCAGCACAACTTTCTGCAGCTGGGATGGGATTGCTGTAAGAAATGGAGGGAGGCACCGTTAACGAGTGATGGCAGGTACAAGGATTTGGGGACTCAAGGTGTTGGGGTATCGCAGGTGGGACACTGCCTTGTGTGTCCGTCCATCCCCCCCTCCCGTCGTGCCGCGCGCCCGCAATGGCTGATGGGAGATGAAGGCCGAGCGAAACACTATCCCTCCCATGGTGCTGCAGGCTTCGCGCTTGCAGATAAGTCGTTGACAAATTACCCACAATGCACTGCGTCTCGTCCTTTCTCCCCTGCGTGTGGGCGCGGGGAAGGAGGCGTCCGCGGCTAAACTCCCCGCCCCCCGCTCCCCAGGAACCGGAAGTTCCCTTGTTGCTCCCATCATCCTGCCTGCCCTAGTAGCTGTCGGCTGCCGGGGCCGGGGCGGGGGCCGCCATGAGCAAGCGGAAGGCGCCGCAGGAGA